TTTAACTAGGATTGAATTTGCATTTTCATTGTTCATTGCAGAGGCCAGGCGAGCTAATTCATCTACCTGCGAGTTTCTCTCTTTTGGGATTTGGTGAATGGAAAATGATCTAAACTATCTGAGCTCAATCTCTACTCACTGGAGGTAGGATGTCATCCTATCTTCCTTTGCTTGGTATTTCCTAGTAACTTGGTGGACCACGAGCTGTGAGTCACTATAGATCTTGATGGACTCTACCCCTATTTTCCTAGCGAGACGGATACCTACGAACAATGCCTCATACTCAGCTTCGTTATTGAAGGCATTGAACTCGAACCTTATTGCGGCTATAATTGGGTCTCCTTCTGGACTTTCAAGCAAGAGGCCCGCACTTGCTCCCCTTTTATTTGAGGAGCCATCTATGTACAAAGTCCATAGTTATAAGTTGTCACTCTTTGGTTTTTGTTGCTCGACCTCTCTCGAGGTATCTGCCTATGGCGGGCTTGATTCAGCCTCTGGATGATAGGAGAACTCAGATATAAAATTTGTCATGGCCTGGCCTTTGATATATGTCCTCAAGATATACTTGATATTGTGTTGACTCATCTCCATTGTCTACTGGATCAGTTTATCCGATGCCTCGGGCTTCCGCATTATCTTCTTGAAGGGGAAATTTGTCAACACATGGATAGAGTGTGCCTGAAAATAGGGTCGTAGCTTTCTAGCAGCAACAACGAGGGCGTAGGTGAGCTTCTCTATCTTCGGGCACCTCATCTTCGTGTCGAGTAGTCTCCAGCTCACATAATACACTGGCTATTGTATTCCTTCCTTTTTCACGTACCAACGCCATGCTAACAACGGACTTTGATATCTACAAGTACATTAGTAGCGGCTCACCCTGGATGGGCTTTGACAATAGGGGAGGTTATCTGAGGTGTTTCTTCAGCTTCTAGAAAGCTCTTTCACACTCTTTTGTCCACTTGAAACATTTCTTTCCCTTCAAGTCTCAAAGAATGGTAACCACCTGTCTGTGGCTCAGGAAACGAACTTGCTTAGTGCGGCCACACGTCCAGTCAAGCTCTGTACTTGTTTTATGCCACTCGGGCTTTTCATGCCGAGTAGAGCCTGAATCTTCTCCAAGTTAGCTTCTATACCCCGTTGGTTCACGAGGAAGCCTAGGAATTTCCTAGAGCTCACCCCAAAAGCACATTTCAATGGATTGAGCTTCATTTGATACTTTCTGAGGATGTTGAACATTTCCCTTAAGTGCTCAATATGGCTTTCGGAGACCTTTGATTTGACAAACATGTCGTCGATGTATACTTCTATGAAATGGCTGATTTGGTTGGCGAATATCTTGTTCACCAAGCGCTAATAGGTCGCCCCTGCGTTCTTGAGGCCAAACGGCATAACCCTGTAACAATAAATTCCACAGTCAGTAATAAATGAAGTATGCTCTTCATCGGGCTGGTACATCGGGATCTGGCTATATCCCGAGTCCACATTCATAAAGCTAAGTAATGTGTTTCTCACTGTCGCATCCACTAGCTAGTCAATCCGTGGTAGCGAAAAGTTGTCTTTCGAACAGGCTTTGTTCAGATCCATGAAGTCGACATAAGTCTGCCACTTGCCATTCGGCTTCTTGACTAGGACTAGGTTGGCGAGTCAGTCCGTGTACTTGACTTCCCCGATGAAATTGATTTCCGGGAGTTTGTTGACTTCATCCTTGAGCACTTGAGAGTGCTCTGCATCCATGGCCCTTCTTTTTTGTCTTATGGCTGAGTCTATGGGTTGAGGTTCAACCTGTGGCATATCACCTTGGGGCTGATTCCAACCATGTCCGTGTGCACCCATGCAAATATGTCGAGGTTCTTCTTCATGAACCTAACAAGATTATCACCATCTCTCTGGTCAAGTTGCTACTAATCTTCAACACGTGAATTAGATCTTCCTCGTTAACACTTATTTACTGTCGCGGGCTCTTCTTTGTGGATGCGAGGATCTATAGTGTCCTCTAGCGGTCTAGGGTTTAACTTGGATTCTACAATGATCATTGTCTTTAGGTGCAACCATTTTTGTACGACGTTTATGGCCCGATTAAAACATTCTCGATATTCTTTGATGTAGCTCCTAATCGTTGCGACTCCCTTGGAAGTCGAAAATCTCATTGCTTGGCAGTGCACCGATGTGGCCACGCTTAAATCATTAAGGATTGGCCTTCCAAGGATGACATTATACGTGGTCGGGGCGGTCCACCACCAAGAATTCGGCCATTATAGTTCTGACCCTCGGCTCTACACCCAGAGTTACGGGAAGGTCGATAGTACCTTTGGGAACTAAGCTGTCCCCGGTGAATCCATAAAGCGGCGAAAGGCATGCTCACAGGTTCCTTTCTATGAATCCCCATTCCTCGAAAGGCTACCAAGAAAATGATGTTTGTCATGCTCCTGTTGTCGACCATAACCCTTAATACACTTGCATTACCAATCCTGACCGCAAAAACAATCGTGTCATGATTATGACAAAAGGATATTTCACACTCATCAACTGTGAACCTCATTACCTCGTTCTATTCACAACTCATTATTCGGGGAATCGAGTCCGTTCTGGCCTCTCGAGCATATTGCTCGTGAGCTCGTCTCGAGCTTCCTGCTATATTTGGTCCTCCATAGATTATATTCATGAAGACCTCGTTGGGGTTTGTCGGAGCCTGTAGAGCTAGGGGTTATACCTGACTCAGGACTTGATTACTTTGCTCGCCAGGATTCTCTCAAGTCGGTTCTGTCTTAACAAATTCTTTGAAATGACTTCTTCTTATCAAGTCCTCGACGGCATCCTTCAGAGCTCGGCAATCATTCGTGTTATGCCCGACATCCTTGTGATATTGACAATATTTCCATCGATCTCTTTTGTCTGGTGCCTCCCTCATCCTTTTTAGAACGGGCAGCCTCTTTGCCTCTCGGGACACTTCATAGATGTGGGCAATGTCTTGGGTGAAGGGGGTGTACTCTGCATACCGCGGGAAAGGCTGCCTATCTTCACAGTTATCTAGTCTTTATTTCTTTTGAAATCTGTTGCAATCCCTATCGCTGGGGTCTTAGCCCCCACACTTATCCAAGGGGCGATCCTGTCTTCTGTTTAGGGACCCCCGCGTCGAGCTTCTGGCTAGTGCCGTTAACGAGCTCTCTACTTGCTGGTATTTCGCGGCCATCTGGTAGAATTTGGCCAAGCTCACATGATCTTCACTCTGGAGCTCTTTCCACAACTCTGTTTTGGGTTTGATCCCTGCAATTAGCAAAGTCCTGATGGATTCTTCGGGGGCATCAGCGAGCTTTGCCTGCTCGTTCTGGAACCTCGTTAAATATGAGGTTAGTGATTTGTCTCGCTCTTGGCGGATGTTGCTCAACTACTTGAGCAACATTGTGAACTGTCTCCTCGCCTGAAATTGCTGTAAGTATAGTGCGAAGAATTGTTGCCAAGAGTTGATGGAGTTCGCCTGAAGCCATTTGTACGACTTCTTGGCATCTCCGACTAATGTAACTGCAAAACACTAGCATTTCGCTAAGCCACTGACTTGGTGTAGCTCCATTAAGTCATTAAAGTTACCGAGGTGATTCTTGGGGTCCCCTCTTCCGTCGAAGTTGCTCTCTGGTGCCCTAAACTCTTGTGGGAGCGGGGTTTGGCAAACTTCCTCCGTAAAAGGGGAACTTACTACCTCCTCCGCTAGATTGTTTTGGCAAGCTTTTAGATCGTCGAGCATCATCTGCATGCGATCTAAGTCTTCATTTTGGTTGCCCTGGTTGGCTTCGTTAAGTTGTACCTCAAGCAAATGAGTTCGCAATTCTGTTGCTTGCGAAGCTCTTCCTACCTACGCATAGATGTGTAAGGTCGAGTCATGATGGCTGGCTGGGTTGGTAGGTGCTATCATGCTCGTAAGTGTGTTGTTCGCGACGTCGGTCATAACCAAAACATCGATTATTGCTAGATTGACGCACATGGCTCGCTTCGCGAGCTTGTGAAGTTCGATCTTGTCTTGGACGTGGGTTAAAACTGGCACATTGACATTAGGGTAACCGCCAAGATTCTTGGTTGTGTTTGTCACCTTTGCTTTCCCTCAACGGTTACCTGGTCGCCTCCCAATATTTGTTTGCTTGCGGGACTCACGCTCGTGCATGGAGTGCTACTTGCAAGGTTGGAGGTGTTGATTACCGCTCAGCGGCGACGAAGCGGACTGTCCACTTGCAGAAGTCATACCTATTGGGGTGGCATTGGCGAAGCTTGGCTGATCAAGGTTCTGGACAATTGGTTGTTGATTCCTCAGCTCAGCCACGTTCTGTTGCACCGCCTACGCAACCATTGTTCTGATCATCTCCATCAGCCAACTATTCTCGGGATTTGATGTCCCTGCTCCTTGGTTGTTTGCAATGTGTTGGGTTGGCAACACAGGTGGTCGGCGTCCAACGTTCTCCTGTTGCACCTCCTGATGGGTGATTTCCACGTTCTCGTGATTTCCAGTGGTAGTTTTCGATCTAGTGAATACCATTTTGGTCCTGGGATAGGTAAATTGTGATGACCGTTTGCCGAAATTTTTGAAATATTGGTGGAGCTTTCATTTTAACGCCAAAATGTTGATACACAATTATGCACTAACCAGCCAACGTGATCCGATTGACCTTGTTAGGGTTGGAACCGATGTGTGCATGATTAGTGAAAATCAACAATGAATATGAATGAAACAAATTAAAAACAAAGAGATTTTTAAAGTGGTTCGACAAGGTTAACAACCTACGTCCACTATGTTGTTGTAATTGCTGAGAGAGCTTACAATGCAATTCTTGTTAGAAATTCGTAACCCCTTCCTCATCGTTTGACGGGGTTTTTATACAAGATTTGTACGAAGAAAAGAGCGAAATTAAGAGGATTACAATTGATCTGGGTCGCAATTCTGATATTCTCGCGATTGGGCGCTGTGATTGCCAGAGATCGCTGTTGATCGAGTCATTCTTGTAAATATAGGGTCTGAAGTAATCTGGAGATTAATTGAATGATTCCTCGAATTGTTTGCGACTAGTTTATGCTGGGTCAAGCTATATCTCGACGAGCTTATGCTAGGTCGATCAATCATAGTTGCCGAGCTCATTCTGGGTCAAGCTATATCTTTGAGTTAGCCCGAGCTTGGCAGAAAAATCACACACAACACTCAAAAATCACTCTTATAACCATAATCATTTTCATTAGTGTACAAACCCCTAAAAATCATTATAAAGGGGTTAGCAATTTTAGAAAGAGAGCTTATTTTTGTAATCAAATACAGTAATAAGAAAACAGAGAACGTATGCTTGAGAGTTCACTTGTTGCACCTCTTAAAAGCTCTTTTGCATTTAATTTCATTAGTTCCATTATTTATTTTACTAATTATTCATAATCACGCAGCCATCCTATCCAATTCCATCAAGGTGAATCGGGTATCTTTGGTTGTTGCGAGATTTCATAAAAACATTTTGGCACTAGAAAGATGATCTTCTCCTTGTCAATCATACTCTTTACCACACACAATAGCCATGACATGCACTAAAGCATCAAAAAGCGTCATCGGAGCTAATCAGACATGTAATAATGAACCTGGCCACCAGGAGGTTGATCAAAGGGCCATGCAGACTCACCCACTAGTTGTTCCACCAGTGACCCAGTAAGGGGCGAGAACGTCCAACTTGAAGACTGCCCAGATGATGGATATGATGAGGTCACTCACTAGTGCATTCCAAACCTTGTGGCAAGAAGTGGCTGGAATGAAGGAAGTCCAGCAAGGAAACCAGGCTCATGGCCAACATAACGTCGTCATGAGAATGCAAAGCTAGGAGCTTAGAATTAGAATTGCTAGCGATGGCTCTAGTTCTTCCAATGAGCACCACCATCGAAGGCAAAGAGCTGGTAAAGCACAAAGGCGCGAGGTTTAGGACCAAAATAACCTAGGCATGCGCTTAGGAAAGCAACCAATGGGTGAGAAACAATCAAGTTCAGCGTGTTGGTGTGAAACTACATCCAGGGCGTACCTCGCATCAATTAGACGCCCAAAACCAACATGCCGATTTGCACCCACATCGGCAAAACCTCGGATAATATTTTATTATCTGAGCAATTATAGCTCGTCCTCGCATGCCAGCGTGCCCGATAAAATGGACAAAGAGGACAAGTATCAGATCTCTGCACTTATTTAGATTCGCAAAGGATGACCGACCTTATGACCTATCTCGGTGCACTATAAATGAAATTGTTTTACTAGAAAGTATTACCTTGTTCTTCTTGCTTCCAGCAGTGCAACTCCTGACAATTGAGCATCAAAAACTCCTATAAACTAAAAGATGAGGAGAGTGATCTTCTTTTCCACAACTTGCAGCATCTCAGGATGAAAATGTGCTAGTTCTTTCCTTGTGTTGGTTCATCATTAAACTCACCCATGGCAAGAGAACCCCCTCCAAGAAAAGGAAAAAAAAATGAAAATGATCATTCAATATACAATTTTTATTTCAACAATTATTAGCACACTAAAACACCAACAAGTTTTAATCTAACCGTACTAATATTCCACGAATGAAATTGTTTAAGACTCCTACCTTGTTCTTCTTGCGTCCACTTGTGCATTTGCTAATAACTCTAGAATTCTAGGAGTTGGTTAAAAACTCTTCTCTTCCCTGTCTTGTAGAATGTCAACATGAAACCATTAGATAGATGGATCACTGGATCAAGCTAATCAAGAAAGATTACATAAAATCTCATCGGGAAAAAATTTAAAGAGCCAGATATGCTTATAGGAATATGAAAAAAATTAAAAAAAAAAAAGAATCTAAGAGGATTAAAGAAAATTACAATAGATGACAATACAAGTGTAATATCTATCAAGATATGATATAGAAAAAGGAGCCACACATTGTTAATCCAAAAGAAAGAAACAAGGTTACTGAAACCAATATAGCATAGGCCAAAAAAAAAAAAAAATTGAAAAAAATTACAGAACCCAAAAAATGCAAATAGAAAGAGAGACTAAAAAATTGTAATAAAAATTTAACTACCATAACTATCAAGATTACAATAACTCTTTTCATTATGTAAATTAAAAGACAAAAAGAAACAAAAAAACAATAACATATCTGAGATTAAAACAAAATTTTCAGTATCAAATGAAAAACAATAAAAAATAGTCTAGATTGGAATCAGAGAAATCAATTACGTACAAAAAATATTGCTTACAGTATGAGACTCCCCAAAGATAATTGAGCAAATCTCCNAGCAAATTGACACTTCGACACATTTTCGAACATACATTCTGAAATTGATGCTAAAAGCCAGGTCACAAGAAATTTATCTGTTCTTTTCCAGGCTATGTAAGCAGGATTAACTTTTTGTTTAGCAGAATTTTCAGTAGATGTAATTTCCCCAAATTCAGTACTTTTATCAGAAACAATGTCAATTAGAGGTGGTGGACAAGAAACTAACCCTGTCAGATGATCCTCCAACTCATGTGCTCCAACTGCGAACAAGATCTGTGATCGCCAGAATCTGTAGTTGTCGCGATAGTTATCTCTTGTTAACTTCGGACTAACTACTTGCAAGCTTGAAGGAAAAGTCGTAGTGAATGAAGTGAACTGACTGTGAGCTCCTTTCTCCATGCTACTGACAGAGTTCTCAATACCAGTAAATGTAGCCATTGGCGCGAGTCTCAGGCTCTGATACCATGAGAAAAGTTCAAACTAAACCTAAAAATTTCTAGAGAGAAAAATATGAGAAGGCAAGTATGAATTTCATTGATTGAATAGCTTTATTTTACAACCACTTAGAAACTTATATACAAGACTTGAAACGCCACCGTTTTCACCTATTTTCAATACAGTACAACAACTTGTGAACTTAATACTCTGGTCCTATGATAAAAACATCTTTGGTTAACAGTTTTGAGCATGGATTCTTAAATGCGATCTCAATAATCTTATTAGTTTAACTGGGATCTATGAAGTTAATGTGTCCTATCATGTTAGATTGTAGTCTTGTAAACCTTTTGGTGAAACATCGGTTAAAATGATTTCCAGTTTGAACATTGAATGAACTGGAATTAGTGTACTTTGTCTTTCTAGAATTCCTCTGATAAATGGGCCCCTTCTGACATTCTTCCAGGTCTTGCACAGGATGGATGCTACAACGGTACTTTATATGAGTGTTAAATTAGCTTGTGCAAATTAGGGATAACCTAACTTTGTTTTGGGTGAAATGTTATCCTAGAGGGGGTTATTAAAATTTTCGTAAATATGAAGAAAAGCGGAAGCGGTTTGCTTTCAAATTTGTGATAACCTTACTTGATATTGTTTTGGGTGAATTGTTACCTTCTAGTACTGAAGGGGGTTATCGAAATTTTCATAAATATGTAAGAAAATTCCACAAAAACAACTTTGCTTTTGGATTACTTAACCAAAAAAAAAAAAAAAAACCACTACTTGTTTGAAATTTGGGAAGACACCTAATTTGATATTTCTTTTTTTTGAAATATGTGCAAGAATATATTGATTATTGTAATTTTAAGATCGATATGATTGCTAGTTTGTGCTTGTGGATATCTAGATTCTTGACTACATTTTTTCTCTGGTCTTCTACATAGTTTTTTGAATATGCCTTTAATGCGGGGGGCTCAAGATGCCAAAAAGGCAAAAATTGTACTCAAGGATGGGAAAGGAAGTCCAATATGCATGAGTTAGTTGCTAACTGAAAATAAATCTAGTGTATACAACATTGCTCTTATTAGTTTATTGGTGTGAAGCTCTTGCAAAGGGATTATTCTTTCAGATATTATGGTTTCAAATCAACTTCCTTGTTTTGGGATTTTAACATTCTAAATTTCATAGCTACTATTTTATTTCCTGTTGGTTTTATAACAACTTGTTTACTTATGATCAAAAAGCACATATGTTTATCTAGAGAAAAAACACATTAATAAATGGGGCCTTAATACGGAGACCTATTTATTCATACAGTACCCAACGTTGGGAAGCCTATAAACAAATGGACCTTAATGTGTTGGCTCTCTCCATAAACAGCCTGAAAATCGGCAAGGCCATTCAGGGCCATAGAGCGGTGGGGATCATTTGGCATGGGGTTTAGGGTGTAGAGTGATGGGTATTCACATTTATATTTCAGACTATGAAATGTCTCGCATTCTTATAAACATAGGTATTCACATTCAAATTCTAGATAAACATGGGTATTTACATTCACATTCACAGAATTCTAATAAAAGCGCTTGCGGTTTTCTCGTTCAATTTTTCGGTAAAAAAATTCAGATAAAACAGCTAGTGCATTTCCGTTAAGTAATCAAAATTCATTGAATTCAAACTGTAGTGCTTGCGCCTTTCCCTTTCCTTTTCAAATTTTTTTGAGTTAATTTAGAAGCTTTCTAACATTTTTAAGAAATTTGGATAAAATTTTTTGGTTAAAAGAAATGCCAGTGCGTTTTTCCTTTTAAATACCCATGTTTATCAAAACACAAGACACTTCATAGTCTAGAATATGAATGTGAATACTCATCGCTCTACACCCTAAACCAAGTAAATGCAACTCTTGGAAAGAATAATATACTTTATGGAAAATAAACAACAACACAAAACAGGAAGATGCAAGTTGCTAAGTGGTTCAATATCACCGAACATTAGCCATAAACCCACACAAGAATGTTTAAGCAAAAACCAAATAGTAGCAGAAGCATAAAAATCCAACAAAAGAACCTCACTAATCCAACCAGTAAGAGAAGGGGCCAGCACCAAATAAAAATACATGCAGCCTAGCAGCACCAACCGCAAGCAGCAGAAGCATACAAATCCAAAACAACCAGCAAAAACAGAATCCGACAAAAAAAAAAACGCAAGCTTTAGCACCATCAGCCAACAACTCAAACAACCAAGTAAATGCAACTCTGGTAAGATAATATATGTATGGAAATAAACAACAACACAAACAGAGAAGATGCAAGTTGCTAGTGGCTCAATATCACCGAACATAAGCCATAAACCCACACAAAATGTTAAAGCAAAAACCAAATAGTAGCAGAAGCATAAAAATCCAAACAAGAACCCCGCTAATCCAACCAGCAAGAGAAGGGGCTAGCACCAAATAAAAATACATGTAGCCTACAGTACAACCCGAAGCAGCAGAAGCATACAAATCCAAAGCAACCAGCAAATAAAAAAAAAAAAGAAAAACGCAAGCTTCAGCACCATCAGCCAACACTCAAACAACCAGTAAATGCAACTCCTGGTAAGATTAATATATGTTATGGGAAATAAACAACAACACAAAACAGGAAGATGCAAGTTAGGTGGCTCAATATCACCGAACATAAGCCATAAACCCACACAAGAATGTTAAGCAAAAACCAAATAGTAGCAGAAGCATAAAAATCCAACACAAGAATCCCGTAATCCACCTGCAAGAGAAGGGGCTAGCACCAATAAAAATACATGTAGCCTAACAGCACAACCTGCAGCAGTAGAAGCATACAAATCCAAAGCAACCAGCCAAACAAAAAAAAAAAAAAAAAAAAAGCTTTAGCACCATCAGTAACACTCAAACAACCAAGTAAATGCAACTCCTGGTAGATTAATATACTTTATGGGAAATAAACAACAACACAAAACAGGAAGATGCAAGTTGCTAGGTGGTTCAATATCACCGAACATTAGCCATAAACCCACACAGAATGTTTAAGCAAAAACACAAAATAGCAGCAGAAGCATAAAAATCCAACACAAGAACCTCACTAATCCAACCAGAAGAGAAGGGCCAGCACCAAATAAAAATACATGCAGCCTAGCAGCACCAACCGCAAGCAGAGAAGCATACAAATCAAAACAACCAGCAAAAAACAAATACGAAAAAAAAAAAACGCAAGCTTCTGCACCATCGGCCAACACTAAAAAACCAAGTAAAGCAACTCTTGGTCAGATTAATGTACTTTATGGGAAATAAACATTAGCAACAAAACAAGTAGATGCACGTGGCTAAGTGGTTCAATACATCGAACATGAGACAATCCATAACCATAAACCCACACAAGAAGTTTAGCAAAAACCAATAGCAGCAGAAGCATAAAAATCCAACACAAGAACCCCGCTAATCCAACCAACAGAGAAGGGGCCAGCACAAAAAAAAAAAATATGCAGCCTAGAAGCACCAACCGCAAGCAACAGAAGCATACAAATCCAAAGCAACCAGCACAAAAAAAAAAAAAAAAAAAAAAAAAAAAAAAAAAAAAAAAACGCAAGCTCCAGCACCATCAGCCAACACTCAAACTTCAAACATCACAAATGAAGAACAAATCCTAGGATTCGAAGGCCTAGATTAGTACAACAAAAATGACAAAATCTAGCAAATCAAGATTGTATGACTAGAAATAAAGATTTAAACAAAAAAGATTCATATGAAGAAAACAAATTAAATCATTACCAAAAAGAAAAACGACAGAAGGCTGACGGTTGGAGCGTGACAACGCCGGACGCAAGATGGAGGGCTGATGACTGGAGTGATTGGAGAAGAAGAAGAAGAAGAAGTTTGCTAAAAAGAAAAACGACAGAAGGACGACAGAGAGCTGACGATTGGAGCACGACAATGTCGGATGCACAACGGAGGGCTGACGACTGGAGCGATTGGAGAAGAAGAAGAAGTTTGCCGAAAAGAAAAACGACGGAAGGATGATAGAGAGCTGATGATTGGAGCGTGACAACGCCAGACGCACGACGGAGGGCTGACGACTGGAGCGATTGGAGAAGAAGAAAAGTTTGACGAAGACGAGTTACAGTCTTAGAGAGAGGGATTTTGCTTTATGAAATGAAATTTACGACTAAAATAATATTTTATTCATTATATTAATTAAGGCAGATAAAAATTGAACTCTGACTTCTGATTCTGATTATACAGGCGGCGTTGCGGTTTGTTTGTTTGTTTGTTTGTTTTTTTTACTTCTTTCTTCTCCTTTTCTCCTTCATATCACTTCTTTTTCAATTGTCTTCACGGTTCCACCTTTATATCACTTCCATCTTCTTCAAAAATCAACCACCGCCACCCTCTTCCACATTTCTTCTTTAAAAATTACAAACACACTGCCACCCTCTTCCATGTTACAACCACCATAACATCCTCTTCCACTTGCATTCAAAAGGCCACCATCTTCTGATTACCATCACCGGTGCACATTTCCCAGTGAAGTTCACCCACCATCGACCACCCACCTGCACACCCACCTTC